ACAAGATAATGTAGCTGATGATATTTCACGTGGTATACCTGCTAGTCAATTAACTGAAAGATGGAAAAATGGTCCAAGTTTTTTATTAGAAGAAGAAGAAAATTGGCCTATTAACACTGTTAAAGTAGCTGATACTGATATGGAAATGGAAATTCGTAAATCTGTGAGTGCTGTAACTGTTAATGAAGATATTATAAACTGTAATAACTATTCTACGTGGAACAAACTGATACGAGTAACTGCTTATGTTTTAAGATTCATATGGAATTTATCTGCTAAAAGAAGAAATGCTGTTAAAAGAAAAGAATTTTTATCTGCTGAAGAATTGGTTAACTCTGAAACTTACTGGATTAAGCGCGCGCAACTTAGTTTATATGATCGTCAACAAAAGGGAGACTTTAAAACTTTAAGCCCATTTACAGATGAAGATGGAATTTTGCGCGTTGGAGGTAGATTGAATGATGCTTTTGTCTCCTATGATTCTAAACACCCTGCTTTGTTGCCTAATGGTCATCGAATATCTTTATTGATAACTCGTCAGACACACAATAATGGTCACCTAGGAATTGCTGCTACTGCTGCTAAAATAAGAAGAAAATATTGGATACTGAAAGTTCATAAACTAACTAAGACTGTAAAATATAAATGTGTTGTGTGCAAAGAATTTGAACACAAAGTTGAAAATCAATTTATGATGGAATTGCCCAAAATTCGTTTAGCTCCATTTACACCGCCTTTTTATTACACTGCTGTTGATTATTTCGGTCCTTACAATGTCAAAATTGGTAGAAACAAAACTGCTAAACATTATGGTGTATTATTTACATGTTTGAACACTAGATCTGTTCATTTGGAACTTGCTGTTGATTATTCGACCATGGAGTTTATACAAGTTTTAAGAAGATTTTTCAGTATACGTGGGACTCCTTCTTTAATGTTAAGTGATAATGGTTCACAACTTGTTGGTGCTGAAAAAGAACTGAGACAAATGATCAAAGGATATGATGAAGAAACTTTAAAAGACTTTTGTGCTGAAAATCGAATGACGTGGAAATTTACTACTCCTGCTGCTCCACATCAAAATGGTTGCGCTGAATCTATGGTTAAAGTCTGCAAAACTGCTCTGAAGAAATCTGTTGGTGAACAATTACTGACTTCCTTTGAACTATATACTTACCTACTCGAATGTGCTAATCTCGTCAATCAACGTCCAATAGG